AAAATAATTATCTTTTATTGTATAATTAAGATAAAAAAATTATAACCAACCCTTATTTAGACATTTTTTAAGGATTAAATGTAATTTATATAATATATTATAAAAATCGTGATATATTATTAAATAAATAAATTTATATAATATAATAAATAAAATTTTAAATTAAAAAAATTAATTATCTAAGGACAGATTGTATTATAAGTTTATGAAATATTATAATTATATTATTTTTAAAATAAGTAAAATTGAGTAATCATTTTTTTAGATACTTTTTATATAGGTTAAAAATAATTTTAACAATATTTTTTTGAATTTAAAAATAAAATTTTCAATTAATTGAAGATAAATTTTTTTGATAGAAAGCAACCATACTCTATTAGTGGGATGGAATGAATAGCTGGAATTTATACTCGAAACCGCGAAATTCAAATCCTATACTCTTATAAATAATAGGTTTTTTATTTTTATTTTTTTAAAAAAGTGTTATAAATTATTAGATAAGATGTGAGTCTTATTTTATAATTGAAATTATAATTTTTAAAAAAATAATAAATGAGATCAAAATTTAGTATTAAAATTTAAGATTAATATTATATAATTTAAAATATTAAAAGGTAAATTTTATATTATTTAATTATTTAATTATTTTTTATTTTTTAAAAATTAATAATATTATATATAATAATTAATTTAATAATATGATTTATAGCTAAATTTTTGTGTTTCTCATCATTATTTTTTTATATTTATGTTTAATACTTAATTGTTATAAGTGATGAGTGTGTACGCATGAAGTATTTACTTGTATTTTTTTTTTTGAAACTGAAGTATTTACTTGTATTATATGTATAAATAACGAAAAAAAATATTTTATAATTTAACTTATTTTAAATTATAAAATATTAATTATTTAATTAAAAAAATCTTAATATTTTGGGTCTTTTTCTATTAAACTACTTTTATTATACAATTTATACTATTCTAAAAAATAAAATAAAACACCCTATAAATAACTACAGCTATTGTGATAGTTTATTATTATACTATTATTTTGTCGGATTCATTACGTAGGATAATATTGTGAATTACTTAAATTATTTAGTAATCATTTTCTTTAATTGAAAATCAAAAATTTTAAATTTGGGTTATATAATGGATGATTAAAATAAAATAAAAAATAAAAAATAATAATTTTAAATAAAAAATTTATAAAATTAAAATAAAATAAAAAATGTGAGAAGATAATCTTAAATAAAAAAAAAAGGGAGAATAATATCCGAATCGGCCCAGTGGTCCTACAAGCTGCAGCAGCAATAAAAGGACAAACAGTTAATTGACTTAATTCACGTGTTACTCACACTGCACCTTGCTCGGTGCTCGGTACCACAGCTACAGGCGCTAGTAAATTGAATAAAATAATTTAGAGGTAGTTTTTTCTTTTTAAAAAAAAAAAAACAAACAATTTTATTGTTATTTAAATAATTAATATTATTTATTTATTTAAAATTTATAATATCAAATATATGTCTTCTTTTAGTAATTTGTGAAAGATATATAAAAACATTTTATAAAAAATTTATTTCTTGTATCACTACAGGTAAATTTATGCACAGAAAGATTAGTTAACGCCCCTTAAACGGCCCCTTAACTTGCAGTTCCCAAGTTTATTGGCTATCCACTACCCACATGTAAATTTAAGTTTAATTATTAGTCCCTTAACAACCATAAGGAAAATGGCCCCAAGATGACGATTTTCAGGCTGATTGTCACGTGGTCTCCTTAAATGCCCAATACATCGGTTCCAGTAAGTGATCCATCAGCCTCACTTTTTTTTAATTGCATTTTGGTCCTTTTATTTTAATTAAAAAATTTATTTTTAATTCCTCTATTTAAAAAAATTTATTTTTAATCTTTAAAATTTATTATTTGATCTCTTTTTAATATTTCTGTTATTTTTTTTTATATATATGACATATTAGATAATGTAAATTTTAAAGTAAAAAACCTAAAAGATGATTAAAAAAAACCATTTTTTAGGTCAACTTTAACTAATAACTTTCAAATGAGTCATTTTCAAGACAATCTTTAAAATATATAAATTTCAAAAACAATTAATTAGTGCTTAAACTTTAAAATTTTTAAATCTTATTTTCTTTGTTCCTATGCCATTGCCTTCCCTTCTCTTTCCTTTCATTCTCTCTCCTACCTCCTTTTTGTATACCTTTTTCAGAACTAATAACGTATAACTAGAAAATAGAGAAAGACTTATGTATTTACCTACAAGATCATCGAATGCATGACATCAAGTGAATGACACCCTTGATGAGGGTATGTCTCACAAGTTCTACTATGCTCGCATTGATGGTGCTTAGAACATCACCAAAATGTGCCATTGGAATCAAGATCAACAAGTAGTTATGATAAAATTTTATTATCTTCCTCAATTATTAATAGGGTTGTTTAAATTGAACAATTCATATTATATGTGAAAGGATGATTTATTTTGCAGATTTGATTCTTAATTTATTTTTTAGGTATAAATGACTACCAAATGGTATTCATTTAGATTATTATTTTTTTTTTTTAAGTTTTGCTTAATGTTTTATGTAAATTATATATTTTGTCTTGATTTAATGTATATTTACTAAAAATGTTTCAATGAAACAATTAATTACATATTTAAACCTAGTAGTTGAGCATTATTAACAACAAAATTATCACGAGACTAGAGCATATTCGACCTGCAAGATGCATTGTGGAATTCAAGCTTAGAAAGGCAATGAATGATCAACTAAAAGCAAAAGAGGTCATGACTAGCTAGTTTCATGGTGGAAGATGCTATTACAACAACCCATTTGAAATTTAAAGTCTAAGGACCAAATTGCTTTAAAATTCAAAACCTTTAAGGATCATCTTTAAAATATTCCATTTGAAATTGTGCTGATGTGTCACTTGGTGGGCACATGTTAAAAAGTGGTGTTATAGGGACAACTTTTTTACTCTACTTTTTTATATAACTTTTACATGTTATTAAATGAGTGAATGTATTTAATATTATAAATTTCACATAAATTAAAAAAATCAATCATTTTAATAACACATCAAATTTTAAAAAACAAATAAAATAATTGTTCCAATAACATTTCCTCTGGTGAAATGGGCATTTAACTAGCACGTAAGAAGCACGGCTAAGAGCTGTCATTGGGGGCCATTTCCTTAAATCTGAGTTGTTTAAAGGTTAATAACCATAAAATCTGTAAGTTAAGGGGGTGTTTAGCGTTTAAACCCAAAAAGAATGGGCACGATCCTTACCTATCTCGCAGCTGTGTTATCACCACACAGAAAAATTAAATCGGGACATGATATATATATATACCCTTTTTATTATATGGACACAATCACTTACCTATTTCGCGGCTGTGTTATTACCACGTAGAATATTTATATCGGGAGATAAATCTATGTATATTTTTTTTCCTTAAATAGCCGATTGCGATATTTCAATATTTTAATTTGTTAATTAATTTTAGTTTATTATTTTATTATTCTTTTAATTATTTAATTTAATTTAATTTTTCAA